CCGAACGAAACTGATGATGCCAAAAGGTTGAAACAGGGTTGGACAGCTTATGAAGCGGCAAACAATGGTGAGCCATTCGAGGGTTTTCGAGTTCCTCTAGGTGCTTTGGTGTACTATAAGCCATCTCAACATACTTCCAAGCCAGCATTTGAAGCAAGGACCGTTCCAGGAATCTTTGCGGGATGGAGACTAGACTCAGGGTATAAACACAAAAAGGTTCATTTGGTTTTGGATTACGAAAACTTGAGGACTAAGGCAAAGGGCTTTGGTCGTCCGGTGCAAGTTCATGCTGATGAATTGGTGATCCCTGATGCCTTCGTTTTCCCACTTTTCAATGCTGCAAAAGCAAGTTTGGAAGGGGGCAGCGGTGAATTGCCCAAGATTGCTTTGCCTTTTGAAGAGGGTGCACCTAAACCTGAAGTCAGGAAACGCAAGACATATGTGACCTTGGATAGAGCCATCCGCTTCGGGATCACACCTGGTTGTCGTGGATGTGCAAAGATCTCAGAAGGGGTTCCACACACGGATGCTTGCCATGAACGTTTCAGGGAATTGATTCACAATGAAAAATTGGCGAAGGTTGCAAAAGAAAAAGGGTTGGCAGCGCCAGACACACCAGTTCCGGCAGTTTCGGAATCAGCGCCCAAAACGCCAGCAGTTCAAGCTCAAGCGGAAAAGTTCCTGGATGCAGAAGCTTTCTTCGCGAGTTGCCACTTGGCACCGGGGGAAGTGGATGCAAAAGGGGGCAAGGATGTGAGCAATGAAAAGTTAGGTGACTATTGGGAATATGATCAAACGAAATTAGCTTGGAAATGTGTTCACGTTAGGCCAAGAAAGCGTCTTTATGCACCAGTAGGTAAAGACTGCCCGTTCGATGCAAAAGACATTTTGCCTGACAGGCTCACTGAATGGAAGTGCAAAGGTGTTACGTCCGTATACAGGGACAACTGGCAAGTCCACCCACACCAAAGAATTTCATCAAAAAGCTGGATCGGTTGCACTTGGTTTTACCCTTCACGCCAGATTGAAGCAGAGAAGGGGAAGATGTTCGCATGCCAAGCCAACATTTCCAAAGCTGAGCATTCGAGCCAAAGGTTTGACAAGAGGAGTGATTATTTCATTGCATCCGTTGGAAATGACTTTCCAGACAGCACAACTGAACTGTTGCAAGCAACAGCAGGCGTTTCGGAAGTTAAGCCTCCAAAGGAAAGGAAATCCCGCGCAGATAAATTTCACACAATGTTTGAATTCTGCTGCAGTGAAGATTCCATGCTAGGACAGGTAAACCTCGAGCGGGGAATAAATCACGTCAGACTCACAAAGAAGTCGTCAAACATGGCGGACAATCAAGAAGTGAATGATTTACTGAAAGTCATGAAACTTTTTCCTGGAGCTGATTTGTGGGGCTCAATTCCTTGTGACCCGTGGTGTTCATGGCAATACGTCAACTGTGCAAAGCACGGAGAACCCTACAGACGCAAGTTAGCTTTGATTCAAAAGAAGTCCAGAAAGATTCTCAGGAATTTCATTCGATGTGCCGAGCAAATCCTGGCTCAAGGGGGCCATGTGGCCTTCGAATGGCCGCGTGGTAGTCGTGGTTGGGCATTACCAGAATTGGTGAAATTCATCAGAAAGCACAACCTCTTTGTAGCAGAACCAGATGGGTGTGCGCTTGACATGAAAGATGATCAAGGTGTTCCTCATTTGAAGCATTGGCGCGTAGTGACAAGTTCCTATAGATTGGCTCGAAATCTGGATGCACACAAATGTGAACATCCAAAAGGGTTCCAGCACTCGAGGTTGGAAGGCGCAAAGACCCCAAAGTCAGCCTTTTACTCCGAGAAGATGTGTAGGTGCATCAGCAACTCATTGTATGTTCAGGAAGTGCCATTGATGCCAACTATGCCAGCTGAAACTCCTCAGTGCCATCAACCAAATGATGTACCTTTGGAAGAGGTCTATGCAGGGATTCATAAGCTATTGGACCGCAAAGATTGGCATAAGCATGAAGGCGCAACTGAAGCTATTCAAAAGGAGTTAGATGGAATCCTAGCCAACGGAACCTGGTCTTACGATGAAGTAATACCAAGAGATGAACTGGTCAAAAGGCAAAAGCCGTTTCACATAGGAAGAATCATGACAATCCTCAGTATTAAACACTTCGAATCCCCAGAGCTTCGAAAATTGAAAGCCAGAATTGTGTTTCGTGGTGACAACATCCGAGACAATGATGGGAATTTAGCCGTACTTTTAGATTCCAAAGTGTGTCCATCCGGAATGAGCTCTATAAACGCAAACCTTGCATTTGGAGCACTAGTTGGGAACAAGACCACCCAATCGGATGTAGTGCGTGCATATTTGCAGTCATACCTCGGAACTAAGGTGGAGACATGGGTAGAACTAGCTCCTGAGTTAGTTCCTGCTGAGTACCAGCACATCAAAAGACCATGCGTCCGGCTTTGGCGAAGTTTGTACGGCCACCCCGAAAGTGGATTCCACTGGAACGAGAGGTTCAAGGCTGTAATGTCTCAGCTTGGTGCTGTACCGTTGCCAAGTTTTCCATCAAACTACTGGTTACCAAGTTTCGGACTGATGTTGAGCTTGTATGTAGACGACATTGTAGTATCAGGACCAGCAGAAAGATATGAACCTTTCTGGAACGCACTGCAAGAGCACTTGGAATTGGATCCTCCTACGGATGTCTCTAGAGTGTTGGGCAGGGGCCATGAAATTTCTAGAAAGGATAATGTAACAACTTGTTCGTTTGAAATGGTTGAGTTTGTTGAGAATGCATGTCAAATGTATGAGGAATTGACGGGATGGAAGTTGAAACCGGCTGCATCTCCGTATCTACCAGAAGGAAGTCTAACTGATTTGGATTGGGCAGAACGTGGTCAGTTGAGTCAGCAAGCCTCAAGGATCTTAATGAAGATTTTATGGGCGGCGCGCTTAGCGCGACCTGACCTCATGAAAGGTATAGCAGACTTGACACGTAGACTGACTGTCTGGGCAAAAGCAGACGACCGACGCCTGCACAGACTGATGTGTTATGTCCATGGTTCAAAGAATTTCAGACTTCAAGGCAAGATCGCAGATCCTCCAGACAAGCTTTTCCTCACAACCTACACTGATGCTGATCATTGTTCGTCACAAGAAGACACCAAGTCTTCGAGCGGTTTCATCATGGCTCTGGAAGGACCAAATTCATTTTGGCCATTGTCATGGTCCAGCAAAAAGCAGTCGTCGACTGCAAGGTCGACAACGGAAGCAGAAATGGTCTCACTAGGTTCAGGTTTGTTTTCAGAAGCCATACCGATGCAAGAGTTCCTTGAATGCATGCTGCAAAGAGAAGTTGACCTCGTGGTATTCCAAGATAACTCTGCTGTAATTCAAATTGTGGATTCAGGATATTCCCCAAAGTTACGGCACCTTAAGAAAGTTTTCAAGATAAACATTGGATCCATTCACGAGTGGTTCAAGGACAACTCAACTTCCAGGTTGCTGTATATCAAGACTGCATTGCAAAGAGCTGATCCATTCACAAAGCCCCTCCCTGTGGCGAAATGGCTGGAAGCACTTGAACAGATGAATGTGTCAGTGGTACCGCTGTGATTTCTTCAAAGAGCACCCACACTTCCATGCTGTTGGCAAGCCACTGTGTGAGAAGGGGGAGAAGAAGAAATTCGGATAAAAACCACTAACCATAGCGGTCCCAAAACGGAGCTCAAAATCCGGCGTGTTGCCTTGGGCACCGTCGGCTACAAACACCAAATGTGTCACAAACCAACCGAATGTGCCTTTACAATCATAAGCACAGAGCATGTTCAATCCAGAGTTGGGTCAGCATGAAACTATGCTGTAACTTGACTTTGGCTCAAGATCGGAAAATCCTGCTTGCACCGCTGTGTCGCTGCTGGGTTGGTTGAGCCACTAAAACGTGATATGCCAGATAGAATGCCAGATAGAATGCCAGAAGATATGTCAGATAGAATGCCAGAAGATATGCCAGATAGAATGCCAGAAGATTTGCCAGATAGAATGCCAGAAGATATGCCAGAAGATATGCCAGAAGATATGTCAGATAGAATGCCAGAAGATATGCCAGATAGAATGCCAGAAGATTTGCCAGATAGAATGCCAGATAGAATGCCAGAGATATGTCAGAATATATGCCAGAACATATGCCAGAAGATATGCCAGATAGAATGCCAGATAGAATGCCAGAAGATATGTCAGATAGAATGCCAGAAGATATGCCAGATAGAATGCCAGAAGATTTGCCAGATAGAATGCCAGAAGATATGCCAGAAGATATGCCAGATAGAATGCCAAATAAAATGTCAGAAGATATGTCAGATAGAATGCCAAATAGAATGTCAGAAGATATGTCAGATAGAATGCCAGAAGATATGCCAGAAGATATGCCAGATAGAATGCCAAAAAGAATGTTAGAAGATATGTCAGATAGAATGCCAGAAGATATGCCAGAAGATATGCCAGATAGAATGCCAAATAGAATGTCAGAAGATATGTCAGATAGAATGCCAGAAGATGTGCCAGTAAGAACATGTATAAATGTCATGGTGGGGATCACACGAAGTAAAGTAATTGTTTTTTTTAATGTGTTTTTTGTTTGCAAATACTCAGTCCTAGGTTTACCACATTACTATGTATTGCTATAAACCCAGGATCCGTCAACAATAAGTCTACTACTATGCAAGGTACAGTTACAGCACCGCTTGCAACTGGAACTCTTACATACTCTTACTATCTTCACGAGCCCCAAACTCTTCTAGATCAATGTTCGCGGCTTCATTGGGGGTTCAACCAATCACTATTTATCAACCGCTATAGTCGGTTACCTCACTATTTATCAACCAATCATTTGTCCTATTGGGGGTTCAACCAATCACTGTTTATGATCACTATTTATCAACCATTGGGTTCTCAATCCGCACATTGGCCACACATCCTGCGCACATCTCGTCGCTCCAAGTGGCTCCTTCGCCCGCGCGAGGTGCCGCCTAGCTGCAGCGACTTATCAAACACCACCTGGATGGTCCCAATTTTTTTGGCGTAAATCTCCTACTAAACCCATGGGTTTCAAAAGGGGATGTCCCGTATTGAGGCGGGGGATTATACACTTCTCACTATGTTGCTGGTTACTTTACGTTTCTTTCATAGAATTGCAATGTGTGTGTGTGTGATGATGTTCGATTCCAAGCCACACACACACACAAAACACACAGAAAAGATAAAAGGGTACGTACAAGTTTTGAAGCATTGGGGGGAACAACTGTAGACATCCACTGACCGCTGGAAAATACATCTACAGCAGGGGATAATCCGCCATTCTACAACACGACTTCGTACGGACACGACGGTTACAACCTCCTTACTCACTTCCAATGTAACTGGGTTGCAGTCATCGCAACATAAAAGGGTCGAATATATTGGTAGCTTCAAATATACCCTGCGGATCCAAGCACCTTCGGCAGTGTTTGGGTTGAGTACCTTCTCAAAAAAATTAATCCATAGGGATAATTAAAGAACTTTAAGCTACCAAGAGTTGGGAAAATATCACCAACAAGAATGAGGGAAACATGGACAATCCATCTGTCTGGCATTAAGTCCTAAAAGCCGATTGTAACATGACCTATCTTTCAATATGTTCATATCATTGAATAGGCAACCAATGTAGAATTGGATTAAAATCCTGGTTGTATTTGTATTGTTTCTTTGATACAGCTATGCATATAATTGATTTGTCTCATATCAGAACAATGATTCTTTAGTACTGATTTAGAATGCTTATGTGTAGTATATAATTGTATATAAATATATAGAGAGTATACACATATTATATATATATGGCCTGGATAAAAATCCCATCAATTTTCGCCAGTGAACTCCGCAAATCTCCACCAAGTCCCCAACAACCACCTTGCTTTGCACGGCCAATGACCGAATCAAGTCGTCCACCTGCGGCTGATCCTAAAGCAAGGTTTCCAAGGGCATGTCATGCATTTGATTTCAGAATATTCTAGATGTAGAAAACATCTTGGGGGGAACTGATTCTCAATACGAATCAATACCCGTCCAATTATTTTGGTGCGTGATAATTACTTTTGACTCATACCGATCGGGTTTCCGTTTTGTGGCGGCTGCATTGTCTTTGCAGGCTGGGAATCAGCCGGCAACTCAGCATGATTATGAAACATTCGCAACCCTCCAGTTCAGCATTCAGAAAAATTAATGATGTAACCTGTGCCAACAAGTCTGAAACGTGCTTGCACCAACTGAACAGCTAAAAATGTTGTCAATAAATATCCACTGGATGTCAATTGCATTTCATCTTTATAGCATCGCGGAGAACCACTCTACGCTTCACCAAACCGATCAACCAATCCATAAAACACCCTGCCTCTTCGGGTTTGCTGTGGGCCACAGCCATCAACTCGTCGACCTGCGTTGAACAGATGCACATTTGTTTCAGATAATGGTGGTTTGAACGTTTAAAAATGTTTAAAATCACCGGCCGGTTCCAAGTTAAACGAATTTCGACCCCGATCGTCACAAAAATGTGTGCTGTCGACAGGTCTTGCTTTGGGCAATTCATTCAAATTTGTGTACAGCATTAAGCCCAACACTACCTGTTGCAACCAAGCTATCTGTGTTCCTAACGCCATGCAGTCGTCACTCCTTTTTGCTTTGTGCCAAGTCCAAGCTGCGCGGCTGCAGGATCCTTTCATAAGGAATTCATAAGGTGGCTTAGGGGCGGTTTCTGGAGAGGCCTTTTTGATATGAAGGCCCCATAAGAATCCCATAGGAACCCCATGGACATTCTCAGCCAACACCTGAGACCCCACAAGAACCCCACTGGAACGCCACAACATTCATAAGGAGCTGCAGCCATTACCTGGAAACAATCCTTATTTGACTCAAAATACCCACTTTTTTAGCCCTAATTACTAATATCACTAATATCGCCCAGGCTTGGGCTGCTGACTGCTTCAAATGGCATTGTTCTTGTTCTGTTTGACATACCATTACCAAATCCCCACCAAACCAAACCCCCACCAAACTCCATGCTATGCCGATAAATGGCAGCAGGAAAATGAAAAAGGCTTGATGGGGGTGAACATAATCACAAGGTAAGGAACACCTTCAAGGAACAATTCTTTTTTTCGATTTTTTCTGGTTGGCGTGGCCCCTCCCCACGAAGCCAATGAGGCCTTGTCCAGCCAATAACAAACCATCAAAAGCCCATGGAACTCCCCCATGCAAGCCCTAGGCAAACTCAGGGGAAAACAAAGGGTTTGTGTAGGGTTTCCATGGGGGGTTGGTAGGCCCCATGATGTTCCAATAAGGCCTTTACAAGTAGGTACCCTTCACCACCGTAAGATCCTTTGCAAAAAGCAATGTCTTAACGGCGTCGCGACAAGACAGCAAAGGATGCGCTAGGCCAGCTAGGCACTTCCACTGTGCACAGGATGCTTCTCAAATGCTTCTCTTACATCGTTTTATTGTCGTCGTGAAGAGAACATTTCACAGCTCCCAGGCATGGCAAAGGAATTCGATCGTGAGACAGCTTGAAGCACAGTGGAAGACAGGTTTGCATTGAGGTGTGCAAACGGCTCAGAAGCCCAGTGTGGACAACTCTGAGTATCTTATTTTGATTCCACTTGCAAACGGCTCAGAGATTCTCAAAAAGAGCCATCATTCTTCCTTTATCTTAAGTGACTTAAGTGTATTCGAGGCCTTACAAGCCATCTGCACACAATTTCGATTGACTGATTGACTGAGCAAAGTCACAAATGCTGCCAGGTACAACAGGTCCATGGTGAAAGCATACTGTCAGTATGATAAGCTCGTTCGTGGGGGTCATAGATAAAAGAGGATCTCATTGAAATACAACTAAATCATAGAAAAATGATAATTATAATATTATATATATACATATATGTACATCATAATATACTATAATATAATATAATATAATATATTATATTATAATATAATATAATATAATATAATATAACATAATATAATATAATATAACATAATATAATATAATATGATATAATATGATATGATATAATATAATATAATATAATATATACTATACTATAATATATATATATATTATTATATAATATAATATAATAATATTATATATATTATTATATTATATATATATATATTATTATATATACGTGTGTGTGTGTTGAACATTCGCAAATGAATGCAACATCAAATGACAAGTATACCAACGCAAACGTCCACAGGTTCTTTCCCGGCAACATCTGCTACAATCCACTGCTCGTGGCTGGCACCGCTTACGGGCACCGAACTCAATGGCTGCAGCTGTGTGCCCATTGGTTATAAGATGTTTACCCGGAAAATAAGTTCCCTTTTATACCAACAATTAGACTGGTGTACCCAAAAATAGACCCAAAGTGGGGATGGTTGAGTAATGAGATGTGAAAGATCTACCATGTAGCTGTGAGAGTGTCAGGAATTTCTTCGGTGAAAATATCTATGGGCACCGCAGAAAAAAGGCCAGAGAAGCATCGACAATGCTCGGTGCAGAATTTTTTTGTGACTACTTAGTCAGTGGTCTGTAGAATCTTAACAAAAGGATACAAAAGGATCCATCTGTGACTTCAATCGGAGTTGTGACAAACGTAGAATCGGTTTTTAGATGTTTTTAGGCTCATCCCTCTGATTTGTTTGCCATGATCCTTTCGAACCACAGACCATTCCAAGTAGGATTGAGACAAAAGGATCTCCTGCACTCCTTAAAACAAAAAACGCCAATCAACTAGGCTTGCACATGCTGCGCTAAATATTTCAGGCAACAAGTCTATTCCCTCAAAACGAGTACCTACATTACCTACAGGAAAAAATTGACAAGTTCAAGTTCATAGAACTTCAAACATTTCCGAGATCCGCTTGCCATCCAACTGCACAAATTCCGCTCACGTGTTTTGCACGTACGGATTCCAGCGGTTGACTTCCAGACGCTGCGACAAAAAAGGGAGAAGGCGGGTCGCAGCAGTCCTTCAGGCACAGCCATTTGATGCTGGGGGATTTTGGGCGATGCTTGTGCAATCACAACATGCCGGGCAAAGCTGTTGACTGGAACTTCGAAAATCACATTGAACTGATGCATTGTTGCTCACGAAAAAAACACTTCCTTGTGGTATGATGATATACGGTTTGTACAATTTAAGGTTTGTCTAAAAACGGGGCCTACCCCTAGCCATAGCCGATCGTTTGTGCAGAATATAATGATTGTATGGCCGATTGTATGATGACCCAGTGGACTGGTCATATGTCGTGTGTTTTTTGGGGGGAGGGTTGTTCCAAAAATGCTGTGCCATAGAATTGATGGCTTGAAATATCACTTTTATAGTTATTATCCTCGTTAAATTGCAATTTGGTTCTGGAAGTTCTCCATATAACATCAGCGAACAGAACCTGGAGGCAAAGGAAAAACAGACCAGCAGCATCAAGAAGAACACCAAGCAAGAACTATATTATAGGAAGTGGCGCATATCCCTAAAACCATGCTTGTTTCAAATACTATGAGTAGAATAGTGTACCCCCGGATGATTTCGGGGTCCCCCGTTTTAAGAAATACCCATTCTTGTGTTTTGAATAGAAACTGGGACCTGGAACGTGATGATGATCAAAACTAAGATTCATGTGAAAGGAGGTGTCAGGAAAGAAACATGATGCCTGGAGTAATCAACGCATTCCAAGTTCTGTCGAATTGGCCCCCTGAAGTCACGGCACTCCCCTCCAAGGCCAAAATAAGGGAGGCCCCAAGCACACGAAATGCTACAAGATGCTACAAGTAGATATGCATAGAAATGGATAGACCCTTTATAAACTGATCTTTCAACACACCCACCTAGAGCAGTGATCCAAAAAAGCTTAGGATTGCTCATAGTTGGAGCAACATGGTGCAATGATAAAACCCATGGTGAATTGA